TACGTAGATGCGCAATAAACTTCTCTCGCGAAGTTTTGCGTTTGCCAAGTTTGCCGTCTCAGCACCGCCGAAGAAGATTGATCCGTCTTTCAATGAAGAAAAATAATTTCTTCCTATTACTCAGATATAATTCTCGGATTGGTGTTCTCCTCGAGATGTAAAGGAAAGAAAAAAAAAAAACATTTGCCTTGCTTTCTGCGTGATTTTCCGATAAATTAATCTTGGAGACGCACGCATATAACTGCATACGAGGCGTGCAAATCGTAAATGATTTACATAATTAGCTCCATCGAAAGCGATCTCCGATCTCTTTAACCTCAAGGACTTTTCAACAACGGGGACAACCAGTTGAAAAGCTTGCTGTCAAACTGCCGGCAAACAAGTCGGATAAAACAGATTATCATCAATTGAGAATCTCAGCCAATTAGAAGTTAGCATTGTACCGCGAAGAGATCTGGCTCTATCCTTCTCGCGTTAATTACTGCACAATCCACTCGTCCTCGAAGCGACGACAAGTGGATTGTTGCGTGGACAAGTGAGAGAGTTATATTTCGCCTGCTTGCCAACGATTTGTATCTCGGACGAATGAAACGATGTCGTTAAAATTGACTAATTGAAAAACTAGCCGAGAAAGCAAAATCTCGCTATGTTTTCGTTGTGCACGAAAAATTGCATCGTCGAAGAAACATCGACTATCTCTCCGGCGAATTCTTTTCTTCTCGAATTACTTCGCTAATTTCCAACGCGACACGATTCCATCATTGACTCAATCAAAGACTCGTTCTCTCGATTCTTTCCTCAGTGACAAGCCAACCGTGCAGCGCACGTGTAAATAATTCGCCGGTGAGATTGTTATATAAAATCCCGTCGTGGCATTCGTATCTGCCTGATGTGCTCGCCGTATCACGTGACCTAATAAGATTATAGAATTGCGCACACCGATGAAGTTTTCAATCGGCTACCATTACCGTGAATATTTTAGGTGGCTAGCCGAGTATCAGTCGAATCACAGCGCAGAAACGGTGAACTGAACCCACCAAGTACAATCCGTGATTGTTCGAGCGCTTCAAGTTGCTTGTGATCGCGCGATAGAATTTTAACGGACATAATAGTTTTATCGGGGCTTACAAAAGCCATTGGGAGTGAAAATGGCGTCGTCGTGAATTGATCTTCCGCTCCTCTCCTCGTAGTGTAGAATGTTATTTAGTCGATTATAATCGCAAGATCACCGAAGCGATTAGAATCCAAATTTGCTGGCGGTGCGGATAACAGCTTCGGAAAGTGGCGGAATGAATTATTCATTTTATCGTCAACGTTGATGCACGAGGTATTTTCACCTTCTGTCGTTGCTGTGTAATTGATTGATGCTGCGTGCTTACGCGTACATTTTCGGCGATGTGGGTCAGACAATTGTAGGGAGTGGCATTAAGTTCTTCGTAATCGTTCCACGTTCCTTCGCAAGTAAATTTGGCCGAGTCAATTGTACAACGGCTCTCTTCGGGGAGTGGCTCGATTCCGTGTGTACGATGATTCCGATACTTCTTCTTTAATTCTAGGATATTGTGTAACGCGCTCTCTGATACGAGAGAACAGGGCGCGATTAAAACTTGGAAATGAATATCACGCTAAACTCAATCATCTCGACCACTCTTTGCGTCTCTGCGTTATCTTGTCCACTGAGAGACTTATCTGCGTCTGCCCTGTGGTCCCGTCAATTCTTCTTCACGTGTCCATACTTGCTTGCAGTCGACGCAAATTAGATGCTAGGTCACACCTGTTATACTGAGGTCTCGATAAGGGAGAGAGAGAGAGAGAGAGAGAGAGAGAGAGGGGGAAAGAGAGCATTTTTGAATCGGATTTTATTTTATTGTTATTCGCCATGAACGAAGTGTGCATTGTGGTTTGTGGCTGCGGGACGATGATGCTCGATCGAGAATAGAGACCAGGACTTGTGCTTGGATGGCTTGCAAACGAAAGCGAAAAAAGACCGAGACACGACGAATCTGAGGGAAGCTCTGGGGAGCCCCACGCCACTGCGCCATTCAACATGGCGTAGCGGCGCGAACTTTGAACGCCAGTGCGACACGAGCGTAGATTTCGACCCGAGAATCTCGCAGCCGAGGAACGACCATGCGGTAGCGTGAGCCGAGCGACAGCGTAGAGCACCAGCCGGATAAATTTCGGATCCGGAATCGCGGGGACACGAGGGCGAGGATAAGGACCATCAGAAGAACGGCCTTGGCGTCCATGGTGGCGAGTCCCGGCGATGATTGGATACAGTCAACACAATTCCGGCTATAACAAGCTATTCACCCAGGTACCCCGGGAATACCCGCGAATCCTTCCGTTCGACTTTGGTGCGCAGGAAGCGCTGCGCTGAGGGACTCCAATGTCGTTCTCATGAAGTCACACGGGAGCGAGGGTGCGCTCTTGATCCTGTTTGCTTGATTAACCGGACGATTTAAAGCGACAGATCCATGCCGCTCTCCGTCCCGCTAATTATTTCGCCTCGCTCCCTCTATTTCCGCACTTTGCTCATCCCCTTTTCTTTTCCCCGCAACGTCACTCGCCTCGTCCTCCGCACAACGCTGTGGCGGAAAAGGGAAAAGAGTTACGTTCATGCAACAAGAAAACAACGCGCCCTCCGTCTTTTTTATTTTCCTCACCGAGGAACGACTGTAATTAAACTTCGTCCCCAAGAGGCTCTCCATGCGGCGAGGAGGCCGCCGTATGGAGCCGCACAGAAATAACTGACTATCGTGACCGCACTTTGAGCAAGGAGGCGCAAGGAAAAGTGCTCGCTCACGTCAAAGACTCGCCGCTTCCTAGACGTGTGTATGATACTCTGCAGCGTATCGTTTAAGGCTCGCATTAAGCAGCGTGGCGTGAAGCAGAAGCGATCATCCGTGCCGCCGTTGCAAGGCGGTGGCTGGTCGCTTCACGTCAACCGTGCCGCGCTCGATCGACGTGTTTTCTTTTTCTTTCTTTTCTCTCTCTTTTTTTTTTTTTTTTTTTTAGCACGAAACCGAGCTTAGCACGGACAATATGCTCTGCTGGCCTTGGGGCTTTTTGTCCTTGGTTCACTTTTCTCAGTGATCCGACGTTTCTTTCGACTGTCGTCGGCGAGACTCCACGTTGAGGTCTTCACTCTGCAGGCCGACCTCATTCGACATGTTCGTGATGCGCGATTCGTCTCGTTGTTACGGTTTGAGCGGCGGGTGTAGCGTACGGAGATCAACATTGTGCCTCGTCGAAAGCGAAAGTAAACGTGTCGGGCACAATTTGTAGAACGTAAGACGCGGCGGGTTTCGTGTTTGAGCGTGTAGTCAGCATGGCGACGTAATTAAAATTGATATATATATCGGAATATGCGTGCGACGTCCTTTGGGGAAGGACCAGCGGGGAAGTATCGTTTGAGTTGGGCCGAGGCTATTTTCTAGTCTACTCGAAAGTCCCGCTATCGCGTCTCAGAGATCATAGGAAGCTCAGGACACGCACGTACACACACTTATGTAGGGGTGAGTACGCGTCGGTCATGAGGCGGTAAGTAAAGGCCGTTGGCATGGCTACGACCCGCTACGACCGAGTGAATTCGTTCCTCGAAAAGCTTCTTTGAAGTGAGGGTAGATTCTATCGAGGCGATCTAGGTGACTTTAAAACAATTTTCATCGCGGGCGTAAATCGCGCGTACTGCGATTGCAAATAAACGAACGCGATCGAGATCGCGAAGATTACGCAATCCGCATCGCGGGGGTGGCGGAGGAGCGGGGGCGACGAAATGCGACGAAAAGTGTCCCGCGTGGCGAAGAAATTGCCATTGCGATTTCAGACCGGGTAATTGAACCGAAATATAAAAAGGAAGGTCTATATCGGTCTCTCTCTCTCTCTCTCTCTCTCTCTCTAATGTCCTTCGCTCAGGTTCTGCTTGAGATGCCATGCGCGCGAGGCAGGCAGCCTGGAAAATCCTCCCGAGCGAAAATATTAATTTACCTTCTCCGCCACCTTTGTTCTCCTCCTCAAACAATTGCGTCGCAAGTTGCGTTACGTGAGAACTACTCCCGTAACTTCGCAAAGTATATCGCCGCAAATCCGACGAAGTGTGACGCATCGTGCGGAAAATCGCCGTTATCGTGTTTCATCGACGCGCGAATCGAGCTTTACGTCAGCCTCGATTCCGTACTCATGGCCGTACGCGCGTCGCATACGCGTGGATTTTTCTCCCTCCGATTTTCCCTCGATCAATTCGCTTGAGATCTTAAGAGGAGAGAAACTAATTAACCAATTAACTATCGTTGAATCGATTGCCTTTGTTGCGCGGGAGCGTCGCCGGTGCTCGCGATAGACGTAACGAACGTACGTCGGGGGATACCTTATCGCACTCGCGGTCTCGTATTTTTTCGTTATACATGTTTACACCGAGCGTTATAAATAGTGTTTGAGCGTGCCGCTTCTCAAGGGGTGAGATATCTATTCCGGAAATACCCGCGGCGGTGGCGGTATTAAATGTCCGCAGCTGATGCGTCAATGTCGCGGTAGTTTTTGCGCCTCGAGTCAGGGCGCTTTACGAATCCAGCGTATGAATCGCAGGACACCGCTAAGCACGACACATTGTCCCTCCATCGAGAAGTCACGTCGGGCCGATTCGCTCGAGATACCGCATGTACATACATAGTGCTGCAGTGGTGATAAATCGATACTTGAAATTTCTTGGGTCTGTTCCACACGCGCGATAACGTCAAAGTCTCAACGGGAAACTTTCAGTGTCACGTATGTCGAAGGCTGTGGAAACGCGAGGAAGGCAACGTTCAGAGAACCGTCCGGGCAAATCGCGCGATAATTCGCCGCTGACGCCCGCGTCGTACCGCGCGGGAAACGTTACTATGCGGCAAAAGTCGCTTGTATAGTTGGTATTAGCGCACTTTTCCCCGCAAACCGCTGGGAAGCCTCTCGCGGATGCGTGCGATTGAATCTAATGGACGACGCCGTCCGTGTGATTCCAGGGCTCGGCGGACTCGAACTACTCGCAGCCGAGCTCGGATCTCTCGCTGGACGAGGAGAAGGAAAGCTTGAGACGCGAAAAGGAGAAGCAGGCCCTCAATCAACTCGAAAAAGCCAGGGTGAGTGATCGATCCTCCAACGTGCGCTGCGCCGTCACCGAGCCCGCACCGAGTTTCCTCTCGGCGCGCGCGTTGGATCGTCAAGCTTATCGATCGGACGGATGTCTCATCATCGTCGCCGTATTTCATTGTCGCGTCATAAACACCGTGGATTTACATGAGAAGCGAGGCGCAGCCGGATGCGCCCGTCTGCGACGGCACGTGATGCTCGGGATGGGAGAAGCGCCATGGAAAAAAAAGGAAAATAGAACGGGGCTGTCTGGGCGCGGGGCCAATCAGACGCGCCTCGCGTATAACTTCTCCTCGCGGCCGCCTCAAGCCACGGAGATAAATCTGCGAGAAAAGTACGAGTAAAAGTTACGCGGGCGCCTGCAGCTTTTAATGTTTAAGCGCGGCGATGATGTCGACGCTCACCTATCGAGAGTTGCTCCGCGAGAAGAATGTGAGCGACGTTTTTCGGGCAAAACTCCCCCCGGGCACCTCCCCCCCCTTTCACCGAGGGACGTTGCTTCGGGAGAGATAAATTGCGCTGACAAACTTTTGACGGGGCAATGTCCACATGTTCGCTCTCTCCCTCTCTCTCTCTCTCTCTCTCTCTCTCGTTGTACTGTTATTATATTTACAGTCACGTTATTATGCGTTGCTGATATTAAAGTATTAAAGTATTTGTACTTTTCACCGATGTTCATACGCTAAAATGTATATGTTTGAATTTCTTCGTGTAATTGTCACAAAGATCAGATTAACGGGACGACTCGCGAGGAGCGCACACGCTGCGCAAATACAAACGTTGTATCAACGTTGGCTCTCTCATTACCGTGTTATTTATATTCGCATTATTACGTCGTTACATTGAAATATTACTTGTGTCTCGTGCTCTTTCCTGATACTTGTACGCTCCGAAACAGTATTTTATTTTTCAACGAATTCTTTTATTTCGCGACTGTGGAAGAGTGAAATTAACGGGACGATTTCGCGATGAGTAACGAAGAGGGTGCGAGGGAAGTTACGAAACTGCACAAACGTCGAATACTGGGATCCGATCGGTCGAGTCTCTCTTCTTCGACTTAGCGGCAAACCGATATTGATTGGCGAGAGTCGACCTTCGAGGGACAGCTCATCGCAATAAAAATGAAGTGAGCTTCGCATCGCGCGTTCCCCCCTCCCCCCTCCCACCCCCCCCCCGCCCCGCGATGGTCTTTTATACCTTATTAAAGCAACGTCGTTGTGCCACTGGCAATGCGTCCACGCATAACTGACTGAATGTGTCGATCGGCCGTGAAGCTCCGTCGTCAGTGGCCGGCTTTTATTTTCCACTTCACACACGCGATATAGTTATCCGTGTTTGCGTACATATTGTGATATAGGGGCTGCACCGTGACCCGATAGAAAAGTCGATAACACGGGCGAATGGGCGATGAGACGTAACTAAATACGGTGGTACGCGACGACACCGCGATTGTCATGGAACTCGATAATCAAGGCTCGTGCTCCCTCGCAGCCGCGGAAGAGCTGGATTTGCTTCTCTCGCTGCGGCGAGAGAAGCAAATCTTTCCCGAAGCAACATGCGCAACCTATCTCATCGCGTGTCTCGCGATGAGAGACCAGTTTACTCCCAAAAGCTCCCAAAAGAGACACTACGGATATCCACGTCGATATGATATTACACTGCAACGTGTGAATGTAAAAGGTTCTCGAACCTTCCGCACGATACGAATGACACTGCCGATTAAGCCGGGAACAAGTGCGCGACGTGTGCTCGTAATCTTAATTGAATCGCTCATGAAGGCATCGCTCGATTCACGTTTCAGACGAAGCCGGTAGCGTTTGCGGTGCGAACCAACGTGAGCTATGACGGATCCGTCGACGATGACTCACCCATCCACGGCTCGGCCGTCAGCTTTAACATTCGTGATTTTCTTCACATCAAGGTAACGGGCTCGTATTCACGGCCACTCGATGGGTCTCAGAGTCTTCCCCGCGTTCACGGACCGGTCGCTTTATTCGCAGGAAAAGTACGACAACAACTGGTGGATCGGCAGGCTCGTGAAAGAGAACTGCGACGTGGGTTTCATCCCGTCACCGGTGAAGCTGGAGGCCTTAAGGCTGCAGGCGAACGCCGCGCGTGGCACGAAGGGTCTTTATTTGGCGCGAGGGTCTTCAGGGAACCTTGAGAGTGGTATGCCCTCACGTGGTTCCACACCACCTACGCCAGGTATCCTAGTACGTCCTTCTTTCTTTCCCCCAAAACTTACGGTGTACCCAACCTGGTGTACCTGATCGGGAACTCTATCTCAGCTTGACCCTCGTCGATCCTCGACAGCGAATTACAGGCGGACGGATCGTTGTTACAGGCCGGTCGTAAAGATAAAAACGATGTGACTTGCGCTTGAGAAATCCTATAAGTATCCCTACTACTTTAGACACATACATAACTTTAGCTTCCATCGCTTAAACATCGCCCCGGGACATCTCAGATCGAATCTTAGATCGATGCGATTCTCTCTCTCCTCCTTGTGTGATCAGCAAGCGAATGTAGTCGTGGGGTATTCACCGTTACGACGTCAAGCAGCACGCGCGGGATTTAACGTTGACGCGATTCCAGTCGTACGAAATGGTATGAAATCGTCAAAGTGCGACGCGACATCAAAATTCCCTTTCTTGCATCTTGCGATACACACGGAGGTGCGGGCGTCTCCGTCTCCGCATCACGCGAAGAAAATCGCTCACTACTGCATCTGCTTCTTCATACACGCTCTACTTACTTTTCATTTCATTGCTAAAGTCATCGAGGTAAGTCATCGTATTCGTGCCGCTCGCCAATGCACGCGCTCGTTTCTGTCATTGCTGAAGCTCGACATAGTCGCTGTCATAAGCTGCGAAATCAAGCATAAATGATCGAATTACTACGTCTAGGCTGCATCATCAGTTGAGTGCCGCTTGATAGCTTCATTGAGAGAAAGAAGGACTCGTCGATTCTGCTCTGAGCAGAAGCCAAATTTCTGAGTAACTTTGGACGTGTTCTTTCGGCAGGTGACGAGAGCGACAGCGTCGGGAACGTGCGGCCCGGCAAGGCGACCCTGACGACCCCACCTGCGAAAGAGAAGAAGAAGAACTTCTTCAAAAAGCCGGTAAACACTCGGCGAGTCACGGTGTCGCGAATATCTAATGCACCATGCACATCTTACTCTTCTGACTTTTGGGCTTTTGCTACGTACTTGGATCGGGTCGTACGCATATTGAACTGGCGTGACGTTCAAGTTCAGTACATCATGCGTATACGATGCACGATATCCAATAGGAGAACACCTTTCTCATAGAGAATCCAAATCTCCATTGGAAAGCTGTTCTCCCATTGGATATCGTACGTCGTACGCTCGGATGTCGGACGCTGCGTGAATCCAATCCTAAGTCTCTCCACAGCAAGCCGTTAGTCTTGTTGCAGTTAGTCGCAATCGATTATTCCAATAAATAATCGACCACGATTGATCAGTTTGCTTATGGCTCAAGACTAACGACCTGTTGTAGAAGGCCGGAGATCACATTTGGACGACGGATCGATAAGATTTGGGAAACCTACGCTCACGGTTTCCTTGAGCCGATGAGTCGATTATCGCTGGCGATAATCCGCTTAGGCTTCTCACGAAGGCCTTCTTACGAAGGGAGAAGACAAAAGTAAACGCTTTATTATTCGCTTGGCGAATATGTGATGATCACTTGCTTTTACACTCACACTAGTCTAGCGTACAGACGATTCTTGCCTAGCTAAATCGACCTTGTGCGGCTTCAGGCTTTGTCCATGTGTCCGAGTAATTGATCCCTGGCTGATGAGACCTTACAGTAGACCTCGAAGGGATGTAGAATAAGAAGCTGTATTTTAATGGCGCGAAAGTAACGCCGATGCCAAGAATGTTGTCTTCGAACCGAACACGCTGTCGTCGTATGGACGCTGCCTGAGAAGCTAAATTTACCAGTCGACGCTAAAAGATATCGTGGTCCTCTTGAACACATGTAGAATTATTTTTGTAAATGTGCATGTGTATGTAGATGTCTGTTCGCGATTATTATTAAAATCCGCGTGCATTCTGTCTTAAAAACATTATTCGAAGCTGACGCGTGTGCCGGAGCGCGCGATTAATCTTTTTAAGACATTCAAGTGAAGTACACGCCACTTACGACGAAACTTTCAGATGTAAATTGCAATTGACAGCCTGTGGGCTTACAAGCTCCATGAGCGAAGACCGACGCAGATCGTTTTTGTTAAAATAAGTCTGCCATACGTGTACATATATAAGTTGAAGAAAAATTTTTCTCAGACAAAAATACACGAAGTAAGAACGCCTTTAGAGAGACTTCCGTTTGTCCTCTCTTTCTTTCTCTTCTTTGATTTTCTTTGATTTGATAACGATAAAGTAATGAGTAATAGTGTGTGCTTACTTTGCAATATAATTTCCTTCCACCTAGAGAACGTTTGATTTAAAGTCCCGCTGGGCCACGTTGCTCTCGATTTCTGAAGTTTCCGCATTATTGCCGAATGTCTTCCACGAGTCATCCCCGTGACAGGATCAACACGTGATCACGTGACGCCAGTATATGTATGTAATGTTGAATGTGGGACGATTTCCTCCGGCAATGACTGGCGAATATTGTCACGCATTCACCCACCGTTGATCCGTTTATTCGCCGTCATCACCCACGTATTCAGCATCCGTCCAGCGATCATCCTCTATCGGGGTGCATCACGCGTCATGGGGGCGATCGTTTGTCGTCATCATACCGTAGAATCTGTAGAGAGCCGAAACGAAATATTATAGTTCGTAGGAAGGTCGTTAATACCTTAGCCGATACCTTACCGATAGTTACTAACAATGCTGCTTGGCCAAAGTACCTTCGGTGCTCCAAGAGGACCTCCGTTCATGGGCGCTCGTTCGTCCAGCGATCTCGGGGAAGGACTTTGGCCGTGCAGGAGGTCGCATGTGTCAAGTCGACGTGGCCATTAACTGATTTCAATGTTTCAATGTTGCATACCGTGCTCACGCAGTCCTACGTAAGTGAGACTATCCTGAGGCTGAGATCCCGGCGAGCGGGCCCATCTCGATTGGTCGGACTGACCGTTCGTTCGATTTTCCAGGAAACGACGGCTCCCTACGACGTGGTACCTTCTATGAGGCCTGTGGTGTTGGTTGGACCGTCGCTCAAGGGCTACCAAGTGACGGACATGATGCAGAAGGCGCTCTTTGATTTTCTCAAACATCGTTTCGAAGGCAGGTCGGTTGATGTTTCCTTTAAGCATCGGCTCTGTTATTTCTGAGCAGATTATTTGCTCCTGCTTTCGGACGAACGGGGAACGAACGGGCGTATCTTTTCGTCAAGTTACTCTATCGTTTGTGCGTAGCTGAGTCTAGTTCGGCTTCTAGTGCGGCGCTACTGCTACAATATGCTGCGCACAGTGAGCGCGCCGTGTCAAGTTTGACTAAGTATTGCGAAGCTGTTACTGATGCACGCAACTTGAGCTTGCTATACTTTTCGTTGTTGTGGTTTGTCCTTGTAGCTTGTAATGTGTAACATTCAGTTGTATCATCTATACTTCTCGATCAAGTATTACGGACTATTGCATAAAAATAATCGTTTATTACAGGATTATAATCACGAGGGTAATGGCGGATATCTCGTTAGCGAAAAGATCACTGTTGAACAATCCAACCAAAAGAGCGATCATGGAGCGGTCAACCAGCAGGAGCACTTGTTTAGCGGAAGTTCAGCAGGAGATCGAGAGGATTTTCGAGCTTGCTAGGACCCTTCAGGTCGGTGGAGAAATATATGTTGAAACATTGCCACCAAAAATCACTGTCCGAGTCACTCGGTCCGCGGATGTTGACTTTGGTATCGTGCGCAAACGAGCTTTCCCTGAGCCCACTTAAAATCATTCCAGTTGGTTGTTCTGGACTGCGACACCATAAATCACCCGTCGCAGTTGGCGAAGACCAGTCTGGCGCCCACGATCGTCTACTTGAAGATCACCTCGCCGAAAGTCCTGCAGAGGCTGATAAAGACCCGAGGAAAGTCGCAGATACGTCACCTCAACGTACAAATGGTGGCCGCAGAGAAGCTGTCGCAGTGTCCGGCGGAGATGTTCGACGTCATCCTGGACGAGAATCAGCTGGAGGAGGCGTGCGAGCATGTAGCCGAGTATCTGGAAGCTTACTGGAGAGCTACGCATCCGCCGGACATCACCTCGGTGCCACGCGCAGTGCCAGCACCTGATGCGCCTGTAGATACACTGGCGCAACGCGTGCCATCAGGTATCACGATTAACGCGATCGGTGAGATATCACTGATCAGCTCTAATATAAGTTATTTCGAGAATCCCGAAATCCGCAAATATTTCAAACAACTCGAACAAGACGGTCGCCTTCTCCTGTTCATCGCGAATTAATTTCTTTTTAGAGCGTTCTTAGAGCGTAGACGTTGCGACATATTGGCGTCCATCAGGAGGAAACCTACGTGAAATATTTGCGTATCGTTGACGTTAGAGATTCCCAAGTCGGCCAAGGACGACCCTCGTCGTAGACAATAAGAGATTTTGAGACGGTGGGAGATTGCGAACGGCATCGGTGTAAGATATCGACAGCGAAGAGCCGGTACTTTGGTCACTCGTGTGTGGAGATTATCCAAGATCATCAGACCGCCACGTAGACCTGAGCGCGACGATATATCGCTTTTGGCAGCGACGGCGACTGGCCGAACACGTAAATTGACGCGTGGAATACGTGGACTGACGTCTTTGGCACCGCCGACCGGAAGTCGGTCTCATTTATAAGCGAATTTGACAATGTCCGAGACGGAGCGAAGTACCGGCTTTGAAGAAACGACTGTCGACAGTTCCGTGCGGAGTATTTCGGAAAAGTTTCACGGAGACTCGTGTCATTAATCGTCACCACTCAAATATCCTCTTCAGACGCCCTCCTCGAATGCCCTCTTTCGACGTCCTAACCCCGCTCGCGCTTCTTAACCTACTCAAAAGTCTAACGAGCCCCAATTTTGTCACTAACACTCGACACTTTCTTCTTGTTCTCTCAGGTGCCCATCACGAGAGTTGCCACGGTCACGAGCCAAGAGGTAACCCAACCTTTTCCTCGAGCACATCTCTATACACACCCTTTGTCGTACCCTTTGTCTTTACCTTCATCCCCAGCGATGTACTTCGCTAAAGAGATAGTTGCACGTCGACGTTGCACGCACCCACCTATGAAAATAGCGACCTCCGTCCGCGAAGTCTCGCTAGTAGCACGCAACTGCATCCTGAACTAGCCACTGCATCCTGTCTGAGATCTATGTCTGAGGTCTCTGTTACGATCTATAAGCACACATTGATGTTGTACAAATTATTATTATCTTTCTTATTCTAGGCTTATTCCAAAACCGGTTACGGAAATTTTTGTTTCAGTTGCAAGGTTGGTAGGCCTTAGATAATTAACCTAGATACGTTCCGTAACCGATCAGCTGATCACGCTTGAACGTTCGCACACGTACGGTTTTTGTTTACAGCTTGGTTTTAGCTATTAATTTTGTACTATCGGATGGAGAAATTTATAGATTTTTTATCACTTATTATCTTGATGATCGATCGGTCGATCAATTACGGAACGCGTCCAAGTTAGTTTTTAAGACCTACCAACCTTAAAACTAACACCGAAGCTTTCCGAAACCGACTTCAGAACAGGCCTTTTGTGTTCACATACTCGGAATCTATTCTCTTTAATGTCTCTCTCGTACCCTTTCACTTGGATCTGTTATACTTGTCTCTTATTCTTTCATTTTCTTTTTTAACACAGAGCATGCAACTTAGTCATGCTTCTCGGTGTTACTTGTAATTTTACTTCCGACCGATGTGCAATTACGTGTCGGACGACGATTCGCAGGACCTATACCGCGATATTACCCAGCGGTCTTCGAAACCTTACATCTCACATCTCTCACTCATTCATCGACGCCAAACCACACCGACGACTAAAGCTGCTTCTACAATTAACACGTGTCCGTTAGTCGTCGAGTCGATGTCACTTTATCCTGACGTTATATTTCTTTTCAGCGGCAATGTACGGATCAAACGTAGGGGTCGAAACGAACATGTATGCAGTGCAGTGAGACCGGGGCGCGTTTATTCTCCCCTGTTAGTGCGGACAGTTCTACGTTTCGTTTTTACTTGTGCAATCGCTCCGCCCTCCCCCACCCCCCACCCCTCGCTCCCACCAGTTCTTTTTGTACAGCCACGAAAAGGTTTCCCTTCTCGTATTTCATATATGTCAAGTAATCATTAATATAAAACACATGTCTATCGTATATTTAATTAACTTACTTCGTGCACGCTGCGCATTAGCACACACACACACACACAGAAGAGAGTATTTCTTTTCTCTAAATTTTAACTCAAGTGCTGAACGCGCGCGAATTTTCCAGCACACAATGGCTCTTTAGATCTCTCAGACGAGAGAGAGATTACAAACTTCCCGAATTCGCAAGCGTGGAATTCGATGTCCGAGATGATGCCCCCTTTGTCCCGAGATATTCAAATTGTCAAGATCCGCGCATGCTTTCAAGCTACGCTGAAACTAACGCCAAAGCTGTTAGGTGGCCGCGCGAGGCGGCGAACCGTACGATAATTACCGTTTGACTTGACGTTCTCTCACTCGTCCCCTTCGTCGCACATGCCCGAAATTGCCGCGAGTTCCTCTCCACGCGCTGCGCGATTCACGCGTCAGCGCGCGCGCGTGAAAGAATTCGCGAAAGAGGCAAAGAGCCGCAAAGAGCACACGCGGACCACCGCGCCGGCCCCGTTGTCGTCAGCGACCAGAGCTCTGACTCCGATGTTCTTCTTTGTTTACGTGTAAAAGTGGAGGCGGTGGCTGCCACGGGAATCATCCGAAAAGAGGGCCAGTACGACTATGGTCGCGATGACGAGACCAAGACGAAACGGTCGAGTTAAGAAGGCCCGAACGGGACATAGCAGTCGTTGTGCGGCCGCTTCTACTTCCTCCTTCATCGCCGATGCGATTTTACGGCGTAGACCGGCCAAATTGTACGCTCCGTCCGGCCCGTGAATATTAATTCCGAGTGGATGCGCTTGAGAGAATTAGGGACTGTATAATAGGGATACCTTTGCGAGGGCGCGTAGTAAGTACAGATGGGTTTGGTGCATGGGCCCGGAAACACGGAACCGACCCGATTTCATCTATTTCTCTCTCTCTCTCTCTCTCTCTCCCTCTCTCTCCCCCTCTCTCTCTCTCCCTCTCTCTCTCTCTCTCTCTCTCTCTCTCTCTCTCTCGCAGAGCAGAGAACATGATTTATGTAGCCCTGTTACTTTATCCACCTCTGCGCAGTGGAGTAACTACGGATTCGTCATGCAGACAGCAGTCGGGAGACATGAGTCTTCTCATGTAAATTACATCTTATTCTTCGCTACTGCATCTCGACTTACTCGCGAAAGTTCACTTTCAAGCTTCGGGATCGCGAGAGGGATTTGTGGCCGAAGAGCTTCGCCGCAGCTTCTTCGTGTTCTTCTTTGACCGATGATCCGTCACGATCACTTACAAGTGAGACGTATTCTTGCGTATTACAATGTAAACCGTCCTTTACCTTTTTTTTATAGATTATTATTTGCACTTGATCGATCTACCTCGATACGTAATGTACGTCGTAAGAGTTATGAAGAAAATAATTAATCGGATTGCTGCTGCACTGACTCGGCTATGCCACTGTGTATCCAACTTGATTTGTTTATTTTTACCTCCGCCCAAGAGACCGGCAACGCACTCCTCCGTCCTGGTGAAATTATGTCTCGACTGAACTCCCGGTCACGACGCGCTTAAATCTATTTAACCTCATTAAGCTAGGCTAATTGCCTCGCGTTTGGAAGTTTCTTTTCTTGAAATTAACTGATGCAGTTCGTCCGAGCGTCTCGTGCGTTTTTATCCGTAGATAATAATTATTTGCAAAAGTGCGAAATGAAATTTCACCAATTTTCGAAATTTCTATGTCGCGTCAGTGTCACCTGGTCGGACTCGATTCCATCGATTCATCGACGCCGAAGGCCGATTTCGAGAGGTAATCCGTGCCTCTCTTCGTCATGATCCTTTGAACGCGCGAAAGTTATGCCCAAGTTCCGAGCGTGTCGCGATCGGGAGTCCAGCCGTAGTCTCTCTCTCTCTCTCTCTCTCTCTCTCTCTCTCTATCTGCTTCCCTGTTGAATTTGGTACATTTCACAAGCCCTTCACCAACCCCTCTCACATAGAGTAGGACTATAGAATAGCTTAACGGTAGAGATTAACGACGTGGCCGCGTGAGTCGAGAGGACAGAAGTTACGGAGGGTTTCCTCATCCTCGACATGATCTATCATCTCGCGAGATTCATGTACGAGGTTGCATCAAAGTGTCGAACACACGAGTACACTCTTCTACTTCTCGATTTCTGCGCACCTGCGCAACGATAGTTGGAACGTCGGAGTCTTTGCGACACGTCTCCCTTTTCGTTTTGTTGTTTTTTTCTCGCTTGGAGCTTGCATGGATATTGGGTTAGCGTGGGGTGTTGGAATGAGTTGGCTGGAGCGTGGACAATTCCGCTCATCTCCGTGTTGCTCACAACGATAACCACCCCCTGACCCGGCTGATGTTCTTTTTTGCCGTAGAATAGAGTGTGAATGATGTGAACATGTAAATAGCTTCCTGACGTAGTGACATTTGGACTCGTTCATAGTCTATTTCTTGATCTCAACGATTCTTGATTTTCACTCGACAAAGAAAGCTAAAAGACGCGCGCGCGAACTTTGAACATTCTTGCTCACAGTGATATTCGTACAAGCAACTCGTGAAAAGATATGATGATTTTTTTTTCGTCTTCTTAGAAAATGCCGAACGAATGAGCTTCACGTCGCGTCGCTTCTCGATAAACCTTCTTGTCGATAAACATAGCGAGAAATCACAGACCGCTTGAGAGCGCAATAGCTCTTCGATATGCACAATCTAACGTATCTTTACCTGACACAGGATCCGGACACAGCAGCGGGCACGTCAGCGGTGGGACGAGAAAATCGCGGCTGGAGCGAATGGATCGCGACCGGGGCGATCGCGGCGAGCACGATTACGGCGCCGAGGAAGAATACGGCGTCGATTACGGCAGTGCCTCGAGGCGTCGTCAGCAGCAGGACTCGCGTGCTCTTAATGCTATTTAGGAGCTGGGGCCCCGGGGTCTGTCGCTACAGCGCTGTCCCCACCTGCGCACCACTGCCCTATAGTGAGCTCACCTCCCGGTAACGCTACCGAATGTAGGAAGTGCGCAACGCTACCTCGCGATAAGATCGCTGCGCTCTGTTAGTGGGGCTGTTTCCTGCCGCGCTACTCGCCAAAAAGAAACGAGAGGAGAGAGAGAGAGAGAGAGGGAGAGAGGGAGAGAGAGAGAGAGAGAGAGAAAGAGAGAAGCCGAAAACTCAGCTCGGCTGACACGCCATCTCCGCGCGCTCCTGACCGAGCGAGCCTAACACATACCGCATCACATCGATTCTATCCGAACGCACCTGGATGACCTTGAGAAAGAAAGAAAAAGAGAAAAAACCATTGACAACTCATTTCCGTGTACTCATCCAACCAGAAAACCTCATTGTCCATGCGCTGCCAGTCGCCAGTAGCGTGCACGCTAATCTCGCATGATAATAACGTTCCGCGCTTGCACTTTATTCGCGCCGTTTGCGACGGCAATTGTAATTGTGATCGCGACGCGACGCTTCATCGTCGATTTTCAGTTGCGAGAAAAATTGTTGCGGACATCAGTCGAGTCCGAGTGTTTGCCGACAAACACGCTCTCGCGAGCGTGGGTCCTTATCTTCCGAAAGCTCCTGCATCCGCGACACCGCTACAATATTTGCCGCTATTTACTAACTAAAGTTCGTTTACATAGCCAGCTATTACGATGACGTGCACCGTCGACTCTGTTGCGTGTCTGACTACGCTTCGTTGACACTTTGACTGTCATGCTGAGTAGTCTGAGCGCGAGGCCCAGCAGGTCCCCTTAGGGTGCCCTTAGGGATCCCCCTAAGGAGTCCTTAGCGCGAACTACGTGCAGATTTCAACTGCTGCAGCCGAGAATATTCACGATAGTCTTGGACTCTTGGATCGGGCTGAATACTTGGGTGAATCATTTCCAATTGGATGAATAAAATTGTCAGTCTTGAAAATGGAAACTCTTGCTAAATACGAGCAGCATGGCACTCAGCGCGTCAACAGCGAGTCAAGCAAAGTTGGATGATAAATAGAAAAACTGCACATGCCTCTGTTCTTCGTCTTCTGATATCTTAGCTGATTCATTAGATGATTCATCGACAGCGCGTGCGCGTGCGCGACGACAGAGCCGCTTATCGCCGAACTACGTGCGAGGACACGAGAAAGCAAACAATTTCCCGCGCGTCTCCGGACGAGTCTCCGTCTCAGTGCACCAGCAACGATTGTAACTCGCATACGTCACCCGTTCCCGCGGAAACTCATATTCTCACGTCTGTGCTTGCCGCGTCTCGCTTCGTCAACGAACCCTGATCAATGTCACACATTGTACTCTGGCAATATTATTATTACGATATTGGCCGCAGTTGCGGAGTTAGGCTACTCGTTGATTACGCGCCACTGAACAGCCCACCCGCGCACAAATATCACGGATATTTGCCCGATCACGTAGTCTGCACTCGACAACTCTAGCTGTACCATGTCGAACATGTCATCATACCATTTATCATAACGACTGCCGTAGCAGCGTTGATCGCGCACTACGGCGCCGACACCGCGACCGTTAACCATGACGAGACGATGTCTGTACTGCGTCCTCGCGAGACATCTCTTTTACGACCGCTTTGGGCCGTGGAGAAGGAGCGAGGTCGTGGAGTAATCCCCGAAAAAAGATACACACCGGGCTCTACATCCTGCGCTCCTCGTTGAGCGCGCTGCTGCTCAAGGTCACTCGCACACTCAACCGAGGACAAGCCTGCACATCTCTCGCGCGAGCTATCTATTGTACTGCTTGTTCTCGAAACTTCTCACGGTTCTCTGCTATCTCTGCTACGAGGAAAATCCATAAACGCGAGAAACCCTCTTCGAACGGTCCCAAGGCGCGCGCTCGGCGAGAGATGATCCTTGATGATTAACGGCGCTTGGTCCCACGCTGAGATCCTAATCGTCCGTCTAGAACACTCACGACTAGTAGACGGGCGACTCGAATCTCATGGTGGAGTTGAACGCAATTGATCGTCGATTGTTGTTAACCGGGAATCTTCACGTATACATTTCGACATACATCCGTGTCCTTGATGGATCCTACTTCTAGATACGTATTACTTGCCAAATCCTAAAATCACATTGCGATGAGGATGGACCTCTTCCACGCATTCACGAAACATTCACGCGCGAGTTTCCAAGTATCGAAAGAAATCATCGCAGACGACACTTAAATTAAGGATTCGGAGTATAGTGTAGGGAGGGGGGATCGTTCGGTCGAGCGATCTCCCCGACCGGAGTTTTGGTCGAGTCGAAACGATATGTATCTTCCAGTGTCCTTGTCATCGCAGTACACGCAGGACAAACCCCATTTGCGGAACCAGCTCGACGACACTAGTAGACGCGCGAGACAATCGCGTGGAACGAAGAGACCAAGATAGAAAGTGCACTCGAAAGAAAGTGAAAAGAGAGCCCTGGGGCCTTATATAATCCCTGCACCGACTCCTCCCGGGCCCCAAAGCCAACAAATCTTTGCGCGAAAGAGCGATCGGCGATCGACGCGGCACCGGATCTCCTCTCGCGGCCGAGGGAAACTGGAATCTGCGGCGAACGATTGGTTTCCACTCTAGAATCTAATTGTAAGAAAACGATAATGTTGATCGATCGCGCTTGAGGAGAAGCTACGGCCGTCTAGCGAAGCGATCTATGATCGACTGAACAGCTGACTCCGCTCGCAATTGAGACGGAAAGAGAACCGGATTTCTTCGGAGCTTATCGCGAAGGTCCCACTTTCGATCGTCGATCGTGGCAGCGCGAATACGTCGCCGCTGTAATTTTACGATCACCACTGAGGAGCGATCCACGACCGCAATGCGGCTCCGCAATCTCTTGAATTTGATCGTAGAACTTGAAACGCCCGCCGTCACGGCGAACTTAGCTGAAGCGACTTAACACGATCAATGTAATGACGCTCACCATCGATCACGTAATTAAATCAGGCAAACTAACGTAGAGACGAGGCGTTTTTTGGAGGAATCTTTTTTCATTTACGAGACGACACACGCTGACGACAGCTCGAGATATCGGCAAAATGTTGGTGCGCTGAATCCGCTGAAACCGCTGAAAGTTTCCGATCGGGCGTGTCGACAATCTGTCGCGACGCCAAGATGTGTTTATATATTTTACTAGAGTTACGCGCGCGCGAAAGAGAGAGAGAGAGAGAGAGAGAGCGTGTGTGTGTACGTGTGCGTATGCGCATGTATGCGTTTATGTAAATATGCATACGCACACGCACGTCGCACCGAGGGAAACACTTTGTGTATATAGTATACATATATACATATAAATTGTACACAAACGCAAGTGACTGTTTCACTGTATCACTCGGCGAATTTTAATCGAGATAAGAGAGAGGTTCAAAGAAACTGACTATCCGACGGAAATGTGAATGAAAATCACTTCCTTCGCCTGTACATGATAATGCGATAATCGCGCTGCGAGTCGAATTTTCCGAATTGTCGCTGCGAAAATTGCAGATTGCCACGTTTCTCGCGACGTAAATCTCGCGATTTAATTTGCTCCGTTCATCGCTGCGAGCGAAAGGCTCAACTCGCTCCTCGGGCATTTGCGCAAAACTGCGATGGCGTCTGGAATTTCGGTTGATGCTCAGCACCGCGAACGAAAGACTCGCGTTTTTATTCACATTTCCCACCGACGGCATCATGTAAATACTGTTGTAAGAAGCCTTCAGACGAGTACCGTTTTCAAGTACTCACCTGTGCAGCGTCGACGCATGCGCTGCATGCAACGTGGATCGGCATTCAGCTACTTGTAATCAGATACTTGTAATTAGATCTTCGATTTGTTTTTATGCTAAAAGCATCACGGACGGTACGAAAGGCATTTACAGTCACGCGAGACCTTCAGTACGTGACACGCTCATCGCGAACATCTCTCGATTCCAACCTATGTCGAGCCATCCGACCGGCTATGATAAAAAATGGAGAGGAAGAAAGAGGTTGATCGTATCGGTTCGTTTAGCAGGCGCGCACATACACACACACACACACACACACACATACATGCAAAATAACACGATTACACACGAGACATTTCCCGCCTAGGATGATACGATTATTCCATTAGCATTGCTGGGGACAACATAAACGTAATATTTGACGAAAATAAAACTTACCGAGTTCTTAGGGCGTTCTCGCGGCCAAGTAGTTCGAAATAGATCACGATCATCGGCATGTGGATCACCATTTAGATTAAATTAATCGGAAACTTTTCCTATGTGGCGGCTGCGAACGCCGCGTTTTTCGATTGGCGATGCCCGTTATTATTGTCTGCACATCGCCGTTAAGCGTTAGCGTGAACTAGACGCGGGTAATCTCGACATTGTTTCCTTTTATACGTTCTCGGATAATATTCCGCCGTTGTTCCTTCGAGAATCGAGTAACAATGAGAGAGCTGTTCGTTCGGAGAAGGGGGAGATTTTTTGAAAGTACATGACCTCTTGACCGTCGGGTCTTAGTGAGTTATTCTTGCGTAGACTTGTTTGATTCTAGACGCAGCAGTTTACCGAGCATGAATATAGATTTTGCACATTTTCTGCGATCGATTCTCGATGCGTTCGTGAAGATCGTCAAGTATCGGATTGTGGTTTGAGCTCATGGTAGGCCACTCGTTTGTTTGATTGTTCGTTATTTAAACATTAGATAAATATATATAGTTGGTGATGAGCAAGAGAGAGAGAGAGAGAGAGAGAGAGAGAGAGAGAGAGAGTGTGTGTGTGTGTATGTGTGTGCGTGAGCGTGTGCGTAACGTTTGAAAAGATGATTTTTATGGTTAAATAGTGCTATATAATTCATCCTTAATTGGTACCTGCTTGCGTTGCGTAATCCTTTTTTATGATCGTGTAAATTTAGAAGAGAAGATCATAATGCGCCGGCAGAATTTGGACTCTTGTTTGATCTTGTTAAATTCAATTACGTTTGACTTTCATTTAACTGTTTAGAACGATTGAAAATTATTTGACATAATATATCTACTCAAGTTATGTCTCATCTTAGTTAACTAGCTAGTTTACTTCCGGTTTTTCACGTTCAAGGATAACAGTTTGCGGTCGACAAATTTACACGAGACGTTGCGTTCTGCAAAATAATAGCGTCACTATGGACGATAATTGGTACCGATTAAGGACGCATTTCTACGAGAAAGCGTGTCGCGAAGCACGATTGATTTGCGGACGTTACGTTCATGCTAGGTTTGTCGGTCTCTTTTATAATACTTGAATCTTACGATTAGATAGACACGTATTTATACGAATATATTTGCCTCTGAAGCATCTCGAAGCTTCGCATAAATTTCGTGCCGACGCAAAGCACTGCGTCAATATCGCTTGTCAATGTCGAGGATGTAAATTTTGTCTTAGGCAGAAATTTTGTAAAAAAGAAAAAAAAAGGAAAGAGAGAGATATATATATATATATAGGTATAAATATTTAACGTCGCGTTTGAATGAGGAGGAGAACGGCGGATGTTCCATTCTTCGGCAAACGGTCACGTAAGAAATCATCGCTGAGTTCGACCGACGCGAAATTCCGATTTCCGTAACGAGCGACACGGCGCACATCTCGGGACGATTAATCACGGGATCCCCTCGCAGCCCAGACTTGTACATATTAGGTAAAAAAAAAAAAAAAAAAAAATACGTTTCGTCATACGATCGCTGTGGGTCTACTTGACGAGAGATACACACGCTGCGTTCGCTTCTGTGCGACGTTTTTTGTATCGACTCGCATCGAATGAGACAAATGACCGTTGCTTCGTTTCTTTTACACTGAGAAAACGCGCACTTGTATACTTTTCGCGAGCTTTTCCCATGTGTGTGTTTTCTGTCTCTTTACTTTGCGGAAACCGAATCAGGCTAAATCTTTCTGTGCGCTGCGGCTTGAAGAAATCGCCAAGTCACCGCACGAGTCACAGTCTCAATCAAATTAAATATTTAGTAAAATTATTGTCAATGTAATTTTCTAGTAATATTATTATTATTAATCAGCTAGATAAAACCGTCACTCGGCTGACGGAATTTTCTGAGGGAACTCACGCGTCACCCACAAGCATGGCTGACGTGGCGTTCGATGCTTAAGAAGATAATTTCAGATAGCGTGACATCGATTCGCGTCACGACGGAAATTCGGCGTATGCAATTTTCCGCATGTGGACATCGTTCGTTGCGAGATCGAATGTATCGCTCGGTTGATTGCTTGATCGATTCTGCTTGTTTGCGGGCCCAAGTCAGGGTCTGAGCGAAGGTCTGCGCAAAGACACGCGGCGTAGTCCTAGTCGAGCAAGACGTATCCTGTAGGCACTTTGATTGTCGAGATGGAAATTTTTATAATATTTTGTAACTTCTCGGAATAAGCAGCCATGGAAGTTCGCACACATCCATGAGTACATTGAACTACTCATACACACATACGCATATATGCAGTTACGGTGAGAAATATACATGTATACATGTGCGGAAACGTTCCTTTAGTACCTGCGCGCTGGAGATATCGGACTTGAGTTTTAAGACACGGCGGGCGATCCATCCGTTACTTTCGACATCGTCGAGTAGTGTCTGATCTGCGTAGCGTTCAAGTAGCGCCGAGAACTCAGTATGTAGCTCGATGGAAGCGATTCTAAAAAAAAGAAAAAAAAAGAAGAAAAAGAAGCAAAAGCGAATAACCCACATCCTCCGATTGCAAATGCTTAGCCCGACGCTCGTAGTTTCTGCGTGTAGCTTACACGAACGACTGAACACCTCGCTGAAACGAAAGACCGCGTCGTCGAATTTTGAAACGGACTGAATTCTCTCGAGGAGCTTTTGGTGACGAGCATTTGTCATCGTTCATCAAATCCTCCACGGCGTGTGTCTCTCAAGATCGAGAGAAACTTCGGGTCTCTTCTCTCTGGCGAGATCAACACCGGATCGTTTTGGGTAAACGCTAAATTGCTACTTTGTGACATTCAAGAGGCGCGCGACGCGCGCTAATTAGCGATATTTCCTTTGAAATTCGACGACTCCAAATCCGATCGGAGCACGGACTTTATACCGCGTACATTTACGTATAGAGGGCTCCGTCGTCTAGGCGTTATGCTAGATAAGAATGCTTTGACTAGTCGAGGATGATCATGAGCGAGGCGAAACACTGAAAGTCCAATTGGGAACATACGAATTTTCTGAAGACTAAAACGACTCTGCGAGTGAATCGATGTGAATTAGAGAGAGAGAGAGAGAGAGAGAGAGAGAGAGAGAGAGAGAGAGCGAGAAGAAGGCTGGAGAGAGCGCGAGGCTGAAGCCTCGGCGTATCGCACTTGTACGAACTGTGCGCGTGTAGGGCGCGAACTGACCTGATAATTGCGTGGGATTTGGTTCGTTGGCTCGCACTGTGTGCATGTAATGGTAATTATTCGCTTAGTTAGTTAATTCCGTACCGTCGGACCGTTGGACGGGCGCTCCATCGACGGGCGCTCGCTCGCTCGCGATGCTTCACGGACCCGGATAATTTCTTTGCTGGGGCTGGAAGAGAGTTTACTGTTTCATTGAGACGCTGTTTGATTGTATCGACGATTGATTAACGATCGATGGAGGTTTACGTACGACTGAGTATTTCGTCGCGCACCGTGCGCACGTGAATGTTTGTCAGGAGGAGGATTTGCAGAAGGATCTTCGCGTCTTTAGCTTCGAGCTCGGGCCCGTTGGGAATCTCGAAGCTACACTCGCGGGTCCAACTCGACGGAAATTGTTTCTTCGACGCGTGCGCCGGTGCAAAATCTTAGAAAATTTATAATGGCGGAATCGTCGGCGACGATCGCTTCGATCGCCGTCTTCGAGGCGACAGACGGTCGTTTCTGTCGGCACGAAGACCAGCCGATCGATCGCTAATTGTGTATGATTAATCGCTTAGTGCGTATACTTGTATAATAATTCTAGCCTCGGACGCAATTCACACGCGACGGCGATAGAGTAAGATTCCATTATAGGCTCGCAGCTTTTTCAGTATTTCTTAAGGTAGGATATGTATTTCGATCGCGACGCGGCAAATTTTCGTGGATTTCCGTTCGTCGATTTGCAGCACGCGATGCTGAGAAACGCGCTGAGAGAGTCGTCGACGACGATTTCCCTCGTTCGTCCCATCGACGTATTCACTGAATGAAATCCCATATGGTTGGAAGGTCCAAACGGGGATTGAGCGTGGGCCGTGAAAGCGCCTCCGCGACGATCCGAGACGTCGCCGAGAGGCGCACTCGGCCGGTGCGAATCCCCTCGGTGTGCTTAAAATATCGCGAAACGCCTGTCCTTGTATCGAGCCTTAAGGCTTTCGCAATAATTCGCAATTGCTCTGGCCGCGGTATGTGGTTTCGAAAGTATATCTGTATAACGAAGAAGAGAAAAGAGCGGCGGTTATAAGATTGTGCGCGCGACGGCGGCGTCATGCATCGGCCCGAATCGACTTCGCTCCGAATGCGTCCTTCGCTCTTGCAACCTTATCATTACCCAGCGAGATGAGACGAGTTTAGCGTCAGAAATTTCGCCAGCGAATTTCATTCAGCCACCTCGGCCGCCAAGAACATATTCCGATCCCGCGACACGATTCACACACACATTGTGTCAAGCCGCAACCCTCCTTGAGCGTTCAAAGGTACACGCAGCTTCTTGATGCAGGTGTCCAGATTGTACAAAAGATATCCATAGCCGATACCGCCGCGAGATTCGCACTTTCCACACGCGCGCATCGCGCGATAAGCGATCGTCGATTCGGACCGATCAGCATTAGTGCGAGGACCAGACGCAATCTCGTCGTGTGCGTAGGAATCGTGTCGTCGAACGAATGATAGACTTCGTGTACGCGCGCGAGCGTCCTCGATCATTTCCTTTCGTGGCTGGTTCGTCGGATCAAAGATTTTCTCTGTATATTGTCTATATTCCTGTGTCGCGAACGCGCGCGATCGGTGTCGCCCACTGATAAGCACGCAGAAAATAATTTAGCACGTGACAAGGCGCGCCACGTGATCTGTCCGCGACCCATTCGTTTCCCTCGAGAAGAGAACTTATTATTATTTCACTGTTGATGCACCATTAACGGAAGATGCAACAAAGAGCGAGAGAGAGAGAGAGAGAGAGAGAAAGAGAGAGAGAGAGAGAATGAACGAGAAAAAGCATATTTGTGAGCTATTGAGGTTGATTGTGTCAGTCCCACTGCTACTATTCGATTATCTAATTGTTATGATCACGTAAAACAAAGCGAGGTGGATTGAGGGGGAAAAGAAAAGAGTGCGAGAGAGAGAGAGAGAGAGAGAGAGAGAGAGAGAGAGAGAGTATACGTGTGTGCGTGAGCGAGCGAACGAGCGAGTGAAAGAGGCCGATTATAGAGGAACACAGTTTGCGTATAATGCGTGCAGTTGTTCGAAGACGGAATTGAGACGTCTAATTAATGAGATGTTGTAAATTGTTCTATAGCAAACGAAAAGTGCTACGGCCGTTGCAGCGCGGCCCTCCAAAGCCGGCGAGCAACAAGCCAGCGAGGACCTCTCGCTCCCCGCTTCTTAGATCGAGTCGGGCTCGGTGGCTTTCGCGGGGCGCGATGCACTGATCGTTTCGATGTTGATATGTCAATGCTGTGATGTTATCCTTTTGAAACTTAAACAAAAAAAAGAAGTATATTCCCAGTCCCCCCCGACACACGTCCCACCACCCGCCTCTCCCCCGGAAAAAATCCTGCGACAGGAACCTCCCCCCTCTCGAGAAACCAAATATTTCTATTACTGTAATTCCGCATAGCCCTTAAAATAGCTAAACTTTAATCGTATTTAATGTAAAGATTATGATTGTTACATCTCAGTGATTCTCTCCTTCGCCAGTGATGTCTCGGAGAGATAAGAGCGGGAAGTAAGAGAGAGAGGAGAGTGCGAGGGGGATCTCGATTACTTTGTCGCGGCGGACGACGGTCGATCGGTCGATCGGCCGGTCGTGTCGATTCTCTCCCGCATGTCACTGGTGCCCGAATTCCTACATTTATCGCATTTGTAAATAAAATTTTTATCACATCACATGAGACACCGGCGTTGTGTTGTTCCTCGCGGCAGACTGTCCCCGCGATCGACCAGAAAGAAAAGATTCACCACGCAACACACAATCACACAGCGCGAAGGGATTCCATCGCGGAAATCAAGGTGGAGCAATTATCGATACTTCACGCGCGGGCAAAATAAACAAACACGAGAGGCGCGATATGTTCAGGACACGTAAATCATTATTCGATATTTTTCCTCTTATAAAATATGAACGGAGATAATACAAAAATGGTATTTACACTCTACGTAGGTACATTAACTCGAGACAGAAGTGCGACATGAAGCCACGTCCCATCGACGCGCGTCGCCATTGACGAGACACGCATGCGGACATGTTCGCAGGTAAATGCACATTCGGCTGCCGAAATAATCGACGCGCGTGATCACTCGACGTATACTTTTACATACGTATCGTACCGACTCTTTGGCAAAGGAAAGCAATGTAAAAAACACTCGCTGGCGAGAAGACACGGCTGAACTTCGTTCATTTCCATCGTGCGGAGATGACGAAGTCAAATGACGCCATTACCGCGTAGTAACTCTCAAAGTCTTTCGCGCAATCTCGAATATCGCGTTGTCACTCGCACGATCGATCAGCTTAACGCGACGCGACAAAACTGCTTGTTCCCACGACGGCGAAAGAAGTTGAACCGCAGTCGGCAAACGTGAGGCTAGGAAGTTTAACGTTTTGCAAATCGTTTTTTTCCATAATCACACATGCGATTAGAAGGAACGATATGTATATACATACACTGTCGACAGCGATTATTCCCCGGGAGCGAGAGCTCCGATCAACGTCCGACAACGGCGAGTGTTGCCCAGACACTTGCTTCACCCTTGTTGATTGATATTTACACGGTGCGGGAGATGTCCGGGATGACCCCCTGTCGGGTCGGATTGCACGAAATTTCGGGCAGAAGGGGGAGCGTTAGCAATAACTTAAATCGCTTCCGAACTTTACGAGCTTAACTAGACGCTTTACCTTTTACATAAATAAATAACAATACATCCTTTCCCCACATTGTGCACACACTTTAGATAAGTCGCTCCGCTCGAGCGAGTCTTACTTTTGAATTATGCGCTTATATTTTCGCCGTTGAAGTTACCTAGGACTTGACAGTTTATATATAGTAGAAGACGCACAAGACGATTTATTTTTTCGACGAAGTCGATCTACCGCGCGACCGACGTTCCGTCGGATATACATCAGACGAGAAGACAAAAGGCGAGTTTATAAAAAATTATAGAAATTTTAAATCAGGCTTCATACAAGCGCCGCGTAATCGAAAATGCGGCGTATACTTCATATATGTATATATATGTGTGTGTGTGTGTGTGTGTGTGTGTATATATATATATATATATATAATATATATATATATTACGTACGTCTACCTTTGGTACAATTTCCCTCATTACTAACTAATATCGTAAATTCTCTTTGTTCGGTGTTATCGGCACTGCATTGCGGCCGAGACGCAGGAGGCAAGTGAGCGTTTCAATACATTCAGCGGATCGTGCCTCGACTCATCGAGTTGCCTTTAAAATACCACACTATTGCGACGGATACGACGAGATTTTACGCGTTTCACGCGTTCGTTGAATTGTTAATCAAATATCTCGACATATTCGATCGAGCATTGTTCCTCTTCGACGTGAGAATCGGGGAAATCTTAACAAGCGCGTTTCGTCGAGTTTCCTCGATCGCGAACGAGGCGAGGATTACATGAAACCGGCATCAAACCGACCGACTTTTCTGTCATCCGTCTGGAGGATCCGCGGTGCGAATCGCAAAACACGCGTTGCATCGCCGACGAGTCTCTGGTAACTCTGACCGTCTTGCGCGAGGTGAACCTCCGCGATCGATTTCGTTCCCACCTTCGGCCGAGAGAGGCTGTCCCTATATAAAGAGATAATTCTCGTAGTCGGCGTAGGAGGAGACAGTCACGTGCTTCGACGAGAGCGGCGTCGACGGGACGCTCTGCGGCAGTTGCTGCACCCGCGGCACTTGCACCTGCGGGTGTTCGCCCGCGTGGGGCAGGACGATTCGCGGCGCCTGATTGATGGAGCCTAGCGACAGGTGATGCTGATCTCGATGGATGATGATGTTGTTGTTGTTGTTGTTGTTGTTGTTGCTGCTGCTACTGTTATTGTTATTATTGTTGTTCTTGCTTATAGCGGTGACGCTGACTTTGCCGGCGAGGTGATGCAGACTCAGGTGATTGTTATTGTCGAGCCTCGGGTTGTAGCCGGCGAGACCATCGTGGAGATCCAGTCTCGACATCGCCATGGTGATGCTCGAATCCGACGCCCACATGCTCTGAAACGACGCCAGGTTGTGTAACGGATTTGACTTTCTATCAAGCCCTTATGAATAATTCCGATGGCAGCGTAATTATACGGAATGGACTCGATGATTACGTTCTCTTTGTTTGGATGCGCTTCGCGCATCCTCTCTCTCTCTCTCTCTCTCTCTCTCTCTCTCTCTCGCCGAAAGATCAATGGCGGAAGAAACGTCGCGGATGAGTCACTCACAGTGGGACAGACGCTTCTTTATAAACCAAATGTCACAATTTATGCAAATTACGAATTTGTTCGCACGTGTGCTTCGATAAATCTCGAATTTCATTTATTAAATTGTAAGGTTGAGAGACGTTTCTCTGTAAATGCATGAAGTTCGTAACAGAGAAATAGGCTCGCGATTGAAACGGATTTGTTAATTACAAGTACAGCGAGTACGCGCAATACCTTCCGCCTGTGTGGATTGTAATCTGGATTGCGTCTGATACGAAGGTGCCGGTCTACACTGGTCCACCGTTGCGTAACCTTGAGCGGCGAGTCATCGGGGTGCAATTTCCTTTGGTACTCTTCGCCTTCGCAGACCTCGTAGAGAGAGAACTGCTCCACCGGCTCCTTGGAGCTGTAGCAGCTCAGCAGCATCTGGATCAACTCGTCTACGGTGGTCTGCTCCGAGACCAGAAGGCTCTTGTACTTGGACTGCGGACCATAAGAAATTGCGTTTGCTCTCAATTACTGCGGTAAAGGGTGAAGACTCTCGGAAGAAGAATTTTATTATCGCGGAAGAAGAATTTTATTATGCGCTTGGTGTAATCGTCAATCTTGGCCGGCGCAATCAGTATGAAATACGCGAGGATGGGGGAGATAAATTTTTTAGCTTCATCATCATTTGCGCGGTGTGTGTTTCATTAAGAAAAAAAAAAAAAGAAAAAAAAAGAAAGAAAAAAGAAAAGTTACATCGTGCAAAGTCATTTACGATTTAATATAATTTAATATAAATACGAGAATTGTGCGCGCATGTTCACATGCATATATCTTATATATATTGTTTATTTTTACGTCTTTTTACCCTAATTTCTATATTCTTATATTTTACATTCATATTACATGTATGTTTAGTCGGTTTGTATTACACAAGTATAATACTTTGTATTTGCATGTAATTTAATCTTCTTTCTTAACGTATCAAGAGCGTCGGCGTTACAGCACAGTCCACGGCTGTGAGTTTACACAAGAGCGAAAATTTACTTACCCCGGACATAAGTGCGCTGTCGTATATTTTGACGAGTCCGCCGCGGCGCGTCTGCAACGAGAACCTGCGAACGAGAGGAGACATATGTAAGCACACAAGTTTATGCGCCGAGGGATTCTGCGACGCGCTGGCAGGAGAGCCGGTGAGTTCAAAGCACAGCAACGAGCCTTATTCCAGTGTAAAAGAGTAAAAGTTGCCGGGAGACTAACGTTCTCATCCTGTGCGCGCGTGTAGCCGCGCCGGAAGTTTCGACCTACCGAGGAAACATCGCGCGCGCGCGTTACAATTCCTTCGCGGACGAACCGTCTCCTCGACCATCAACGTCGCGCGATTCTTTTCATAAAACGGTGCGTATTGCAGGCTCTACTACGATCGCGGCATTCCGCTCGGTTCCTTCGCGAGCCGTGAGGTAAAAATCGCGGGGACCCACGCGACCGCTCTTGTGGCCGAGGATTATATCGGTGAGCGACGTTCGCCATTGTTGGCTCGTGCTCGGCGATCCGCGGGACGTGCTTACGGTCGCGAGCCCTGAAATTACGTCACGAAGCCGACCGAAACCGGCAGGAAGGGAGACGGCCGGTCATCAAGTACAAAGGCAGCAAACGTACTTGGAATCGCCGCGAGGGTGGCAGGATTGCAGGACGGCCGGCCGTGCGTCCTCGTCGAGCGGCAGGATAGTGCGCACATTGGCCCTTCTCACGGTCACCTCCATCGTTAGGTAAAACAATCGAGGGTCGCGGTGCCTCATGCGGTATTTGTTCAGAAGATTTTGCACCACTTCGCGACAGGTCGTCTCGTAGGTGATGGACAAGGTCTTGTACTCGATGTCCGGCCGCAAGCAGTTGGCGTAGACCTTGATGGTGGTCTGCAATGAAAATTCAAAGTCTTCTGTGATCTTCTTGTCATTTCTCATCCTCATTATAATTCATTTAAAATATCGTGCATCCCCTTTTCGCCCAAAACGAGCACATTAATAACGCAACGCTGATTGCTTGTCTGAACGTAAGGCATTTCTTTATTTTCAATACTGTGATATAGAGAAGTCGTCTGAAGGTTGCACGACGTTACAGAGGAGCAGGAGATGATCCTGCTCGGGTTAAGTTAGGCTCGGTAGCGACAGGAAGGAAGACGGGGCGGTAAAAAAGCCCAACGAGATGCGAGTCTTGACAATTAGTCCATAATTAACTCGGAGACAGTTGGCCACGCGCGCGGCATAAAACGCTATCAACCCTTCAGATGCAGATCCGGTTATGGAGGGATGCGGGCACCGAAAATAAACCAGACGCCAGATCACCCCGTTCGCAGATGCCGCTGCACGCATACGCCAACAATCACAATGATACATCCGCTTTCTGCTGGCACCGTCTTCGGGGTATGATAGAGAAGTGAAAAATTTAAATAATAGATTCGTGCAAATGAAATTTATCAGCGACTGTGGCTGAAAGAATAAAAGGACATTTTGTTTTGCTAATAAATTTACGTTTCCTTGAGAAACCCAGAGAAGCTGTTGCACTCGTGCGATAATTTCACGATAACGCTCTTATGAAAAAAATCACACATATGTTCGCACTTGTACGTTACACTGGAATCATTCTGCAGTTCACACCGGCTCCCTCGGCCACAAAATATGTCAGTGTTTAGGCACCAGAGCTACAAATCAGTCGAGTGTCAGTTCCGATACCGCGGACATGTGTTTGCGACGTGTTTACACACAAAGAATCTTCGAATCTTGACTTTTCGTCGGCGAGGTTTTACGAGCCGATCGCGCGCTTTTATCGCCCTGTCGAAAGCCCTTCAACACGCAGCGCGTCTTTCGCGATCATACACTCACACACACACACACACGCACACACGCCATCCGGACGTGCCTGTACATTCGCCCGGGAGAGATATTGCCAAAGCGCGCGAGAAACCGGAACCTGGATTACGAAATTCAGCTGGCTCCGTCCGGATCCGGTTAAGCCTCCGCTGTGTGAAATAAACACGTTTCGACGCGACAGTCGTGGGATTATGCTTTCAATGCGCTTATTGCAACGTCGACAATAGCGTTCATCGCGCGCTGACATTAAATTGAACACGAGTCGAGGTTACATTTCGCCTTATTGTGCAACACCGCGGTGGGTCTTGGAGAATGAAAAGATTCACCCAAACGTAGACTTCAATTATTATTTCTTTTCTCCACACGCTTCTGCGTCGCCAGACGAAGTTTACGCGCGAGAGAATTATGGGTCTCGGAATTTCGTCAAACCGCCGCGCGAAATTCCCGCTAGAGTTTTACGGCCACTCGGAATCGAGGAAGGAGCTTGGAACCGCGCGTATCAAGTGGCACTTTAGCGGAGCCGAGAAAGTACGCAGTATCAGCGTAAATATACAACGAGAGCCGGCGGCTGCGAGAGAAGATTGTCATCCCGCGCGGCGGTTTGCCTTCGCGGAAATCCCGCGTGCGCAAACACGCGGTGAAATTTCTGATTCAGCGGCTCGAATTCCAACGCGCTTACGTTAATACCGTTTACGCGGAACGCATGTGCACCGATCTTCGAGCGGATTTCTTTCTCAAGTGTGTCGCGAAGCCGGACCGAGGTGCAAAGAACGTTATGAATCACCGACCGACCGCACTCGCTCGCGGTGAGGCGATTTTTTTCGCTTATCGCTTAACTGCATGGCATTTAAAACCGCCGACGACGGAAGAAAGGCGCTCTTATCCGGAACTGCGAGAGAAATTATTTATTACAGATCGGAGATCTCGCGGGAGATCGACGCTCGACGCTCGAGAGATATCCGCGATCTTTCGATTATTTCAACGTCATAATGTTGGGCAAACCACCCCGCTAAAAATCACGCCGAGGACCACCCCGTGAAAGCGGTCGATCGAGCGCGCCCTCACCCCAACAGCGGCGGCTAATGAAAGGGAAAATAATGCGGGGCCGAGAGGCATGCGGGTGTCAAAGCAGCGCCCGCGTCTCGTCAAGATACGAAAAGAAGGGACGACAGCCCGTTACGAAGCTCCAATATCTCGCAGCCGGTTGCGCGGAGCGGACAGAAATATGTCTCGGGGTATTTCGGTGCGGCCGTCCTCCTCGAGTTGGCGCGCGCGCGGGGGGGGGGTATCTCGTTCGGCTCGTGCGAGCGCGATTGACACTGCCGTTAAAAGCGCCGCCTTAATGACTTTATCGTCGTAAGTATGATGAAGCGAGCGTTGAACACCAACACCGGCGGAGCAACTGGAGCAGCCAGTAGTCGGTAATCCCACATTTCTCGGGCTGTTTTATTATGCCCCGCTCGCCGCTCGTAGCGAGCGACTTCTTCTGCGAAGGGTATTTATATCCCCGATAATTATCGCCGCACAATTCACCTGACACCGGCGTGATATCACCGTCGCTATTCATAAAGACGCGCACGAAGGGGTTTCTAATCGCGCGCGGATTGCCTCTCGCGCCCTTGATCTTGCGTTACAGCCAGCAACACAATAATACGCTCGCCGAGTCCTTTGCCGAGTCGAGCGATGAGCCGCCTGTTGCTGCGTTGCTCTACGCTGAAATAAGCAACGATGAGAAGTAACGAAAAGAGGAGTTTCAACGATTTTCACCAACGACTCAAACATCTCCTCGTGTGCATTTTAACACCGTGGGGCACAATGCGCAAGGTGTACCGTATCGCGATAACCGTCGTGGCCATATAAATATACTTCTCGGAAGAAATTGCTAACTACACTACAGGTGAGAAGCTCACACGCGAGAGAGTTGAGGTAGAACAAAATAGCTCGTCAAGGGTAAGGCTGTTGATTCGCGACTTACGGCAATCCAATATCGATGTCATTTTCAAAGACCGTACGGTCGACGCGTGTAGAGAACATGAGAGGTGCAATTGGAGGAAGATGAAGCGTTCTTTTCTGATGACATTTTTCGAAGATCCGGCGGTCAGATTATTTATGATTATTGATTATGACTGACCGTTTGGCAAAGATAATAATTACACATCGCGGACGGAAAAAGTCGCCCGGCCACTTCGCTCTTTGAGCGAACCTCTTTGTTGCACAAGTCCCGGCGGAATCCCCACGAGGAAAATGGCTGCGCTTCTGCGTCGCACCCAATAAAGTCGTTCGGTAAGTTCGAGGCTCTAATGGGGAAACCACGAGGCGAGGAGGGAATTCGAAGAAGCGCAGGAAGTTCCGAAATCTTGCCGTTAATACAGCATATCGAGCACACGGCGTGACAAAAAGCGGGCCGCAAAAAGGAGGAAACTGTGGGCGCCATATGTCACGGGATGCTCCCGTAATGAGGGGGTCCAATTTAGCTGGAATCCATAAAAATCCCGAATGCCTCCGGCTCTTCGCGAGGCGGGAATGCGCGCGCGCGCGCGCACGGTTTCCTAACTGCACCTTCTCAACTAGTAAATTAGCCATCGCTCTTTTTTATTTATGCGTCCCACCGTCGCGCGCCTGCTCGTTCCGTCCGGCCGACCATATTGCCGTTCTAAATATAGCGCTCTTTATCACGTGCTTATCCTTATCGGCGACTCGGTTCGCAATGGTCGCTCGGAAACGTCACCGAGCATACGTCTGCCAGTTTCAGAGCAAGGTAAACGACACCTTTCAACGGAAACGCTCTTTTAAACGAGTTAGCCATTTTTGCGATTGGTAAACAGTTCCATTCCTGCGCAGTGAGTTCACGCGCAGTTGAGACACTTATACTTTTGAGAATGTTGTGAGAGAAAAAGGGAGTAAACCTGAACGTTTCTTGATGAGTGCACAACGAAGCTACTTGATGAGAACAAATAAGGCACCGATAAGAGAGCCGCTAAGTCGAAAGTAAATATCGGCGGAGCCGATTCACATCACATATCTTATCGAGCAAGTACAAGTTCGAGGCAAGTAGATGTGTGTTGTTTGAGACACGCGCGAAAAAGTGGCGCTCGAGTCGATTCGTTCGATCTTATTGTCCGGCATGGCGCCGTCTATTTTTACTTGGCTCTCTCTCTCTCTCTCTCTGCCTGATAAGATGGCCATCGTCGACATGACATTCCGACCAAGTGTGACAATGGAATTAAACGACGAGATAGAACCTCCGCTCGAAGATAGCGGATTCGTCGTTGAGCGAAACAGTGTCGAGGAATTGATCGATGAGTTACAGAGGGTGGACGTCGCGCCAACTGAATCGCCAACGATAATCCCCGCCGACGATGGCCCAGAGTAATCTGAGGTCGCGCTCAATTGCTCGAGTTACGATAGCGTCGAGGAAAAAGCAAATTACGCGGCTGCTCGCCTTCGCGCGGAACAATGCAGAAATCCATGCGACCCTCTGGCAATCCCACCTTAATTATTAAGCCTCGCTGAAATTCGCACAGGCCACCTCGTTCCATTTCCGGGCTCCTAATGAGACAACTTGCACGCTACCGCAGGAATTTTGGAATTACTGTTATATCGTGACTATTCATGAGCGCGACTTCACATACTTCGAGAGTACATTTCAAGAGCGTGCAAACGGCTTTATAAACTGTACTCTTGAGGGAACTTCCTTCGCCGAAATCTCATGCTGTTCCGCGCAACTGCACGGAGCACAGGAACGGTGGGTCAACAGACGCTCATTAGGGCGCAACGAAAAATTTGTCAATAGTTTGTTAGTTCGGACGAGTATGAAAATATCACGAGCACCCTGTAGACTCGGCGTATTCAAGATGGGATGATGCCCGTTCATTTCCATGCGACCCCACGTAACCTGTGAACAGCGATTTCAATGGCTACTACCTTGTATTGGTGTATCCCAGGCACGACCCCCCTGCATAATAAATTTCTTATCCCGCCACTCTATAGAATCCTGCGTCTCTTCTTTCATGCGTGGCACGTGCTTTTCGGCCCTCAGCTGCCAT